TGTTTTTTTGTTAACAAGTGCCTCTGAACACACATTAATGTGTTGTAATTAGTTCAATGGTTAAGATTTGGCCAAATAACCTTAAGGTTATGGGTTCAAGTCTTAGGGTCACCACTTTATGCATTATGTCAAAGGGTAGGTGTGTACTCAATCTTTTTCCTCCCAAACACACATTAATGTATACTAATTGGGCGTTGTTTTTAAGTGCCTCTAAACACAAGAAAAAAATAATAATAATAGATCTCAAGACAACGGAGACCAACAGATGTAATAGTGAAGAGATGTGATACTAACAGTAAAGGGAAGTGTTAGGGAAAGGAACATATCTAGATTGACGTGGACTAGTGTAGTGAATAAAGTAAAGGGAAGTGTTAGGGAAATGAACAGACCTAGATTGATGTAGACTAGTGTAGTAAATAAAGAGATAAATATCCTTAATTAGACTAACCAAATGGCATTTGATAGAGTCAAGTGGAGAAGAAAGATTTACATAGCCGACCTCATTTGATAAGATTTAAGACTTGATTTGATTTGGCTTGATTAGATCCCAAGACATCTGTTACTAAATTCAAAAGGAAAAATAACAAATTAGTGTAAGGTAGAAAAAAATTAAGATTAATGGTAAAGTTTATAAATTTTAATTATTAAAGTCATAGACCACGTGTGTGTTATTATTTTTGAAGAATACACTTGATTTATAATTTTCTCAATTCAGGTTTCGTTTGGAATGTGGGTTACCTTTTTTACTATTTAGCCTGGAACTAAAATGTCTCGTTTGGGATGGATTTTTTGACTTTTTTAACTTTTGTGAGAAAAAAATGAAATGATTATGGTTTAGATGTGATATTTTTTCTTATTAATTTTTTAACTTATTTTATCTTTTTATAATTATTTTAACTAAAAAATCAACCCAATCAACATGCCAAACGAGTGCTCAAAATACCCACTGCTGGAAATGAGGCTTTTAGAGGCGTTTAAAAAACGCCACTATAATTATCAAAAACGCCGCTAATTCTTTTTGCGACGTTTAGTACCAAACGTCGAAGATGCGGCCGTCACTGTATCTTTATGGCGCTCCAAAAGCGTCGTTATATGAGAATAGGCGGCGTTAAATGTGTTACATAATAGTGACGTCAATATTTAACGACGTTTTAAAAACGTCGTGGTAGCTTTTTTCTATTTTAAAAATATAACACTATAGTGGCGTTTAAAAAACGCCGTTATAGCTTCATTTTTCTTTTCTCTTTTTTTTTATATAAAAAAAATTGTGCTAATTCTGTGATGCATAAACCCTCATAAACACTTTGGCAAGTACAGTAGCAAAAGGAAAATAGGCCTTCAACTACAAATACAAATACAAAAAAGAAAAAAAAAATCAAATGTATTTGTTTCGAGAGAACATACATAAATATGGTGCCAAGTAAATTCTGACCGTGACACAGCGCAATACATCGCATAGCCATTCAAGAAGAACAAACAAAATTTCATGCCAATGTATTACACAATACATTCCTGTCTTGCAGGTAACGAGATTGAAACATCATCTTTAGAGTGCAGGTAACAAAATTTCCCCCACAAAAATGTCGTCATCTTCAGCTCTGGAAACTTCAGGGCCTTGGTTCTCTTTTGAATCAGGATGTCCCTGCTTCGGAGGTGGGGGAGGTGGAGGTAGGTTTTCTCTGTAAGTTCTATTCTTTAAAATTTCACCGTCAGGATTTGACACCCTCTCATCTTCAACATATTCATTGCCAATAATTGCTATCCTTCCTGTTGATTTGACAATGTGTTACATGCAGATGGAAATTACAGAGGTCAAGAAAAAAGAAAAAGTAATGCTAAAAACACTAACTAGTGTACCAACAAACATATCAACTAAGACACAAGACATAAACGTGCGATCCACCACTTGACCTAGGACTCACTTAAAAGGATACTGCATTCATTACAAAACAGAATCAAATAACCACCACACAGAAATGCACATATACAGAAAACAAAATAAGACAGCAAGTGTGGAAATCCGAAAAAGTAGAAACCTCTCACCCTCCCTAGGAAATCGAAACTAACCAATCTGATACCAAATGGCTGACACCATAGCATTATAATCCATGCATGCATTGCATGAATGGTCACATGAATTCTCTAGAAACTTACCCCTGATAAGAATTAATTAAATCACTGCAGAATTTCCTTTCTGAGAAGAATTTTGAATTCATACCAGTTTGTTAAGAGCAATTATATTCATGCTAATCAGGGTGGCTATGTTCCCATTTACCCATTAGACTAGAGTTAATGTTTTCGTCATGTTCTAAAGCACAGATGTGCTGAATATGCTCTGAAAAGTCTCATGGATTTGGAATTAAATAGTTTCTTGGAATATCATGCAAAAATACAAACCAAAGTGACAGTGGCCAACAAGTTTTTTTTCAAAAAACAGTATAGCATACCTTTCACTTCTCTTTCTTTCTTCTTTTTCTTGAGAACATTCCCAGATGATCCAAGGCGAAGATATGACATAATTTTAGCAATTCGATCTACCACAGAACCATCAACACTGACAGTAACCATTTCCTGCAATATACATAAAGATGAAAATTAAATAACTGGAATAACACCTAAGAAAATTTGTAATAAAGAGGAAATAAAATACAAACCTCTGGGACCGGGCAGTCAACTTTACTTCTATGCAGAGTGGTTGGAATATCATGGGAAAACCCACCCTCCTACCATACATGAAAGATAATTTAGATTGAAAATTTTGCTCAAAAAGGTTTGTTTGCTGTTTCAGAGTCCAGCACTTTTTCTCCAATAGTGTAGATGCACAAAATCATAGTCATAAATAAATAAATAAAATGAAAAATCATAGCAACTACCAGATAGTACTGAGCAAATTTGATATGCATATAGCATAACACCTTCATCTTATAGATTACTGGCTTTCTGAAAAACCAAATCATCTATACTAGCCCCAGGCTCAACCTCATGAGTCACAACTGACACCCGCCAGCCTAAAGTCCAAACTATATGATAATTAGAGTACAGTCCATAACTCATATGATGGTAAGACTTGGGAGTTATAACTTCTAGGTCTCAAGTTCAACTCTTGGTGAAGCCAAGGCTCTTGTTTTTCGTCCAGTGATGAGCAGTGGTGCATCTCATTAACCCCAAGACAGGAATTTTGTTACCTGCAAGACAGGAATTTTGTTACATACATAAATATGGTGCCAAGTAAATTCTGACCGTGACACAGCGCAATACATCGCATAGCCATTCAAGAAGAACAAACAAAATTTCATGCCAATGTATTACACAATACATTCCTGTCTTGCAGGTAACGAGATTGAAGCATCATCTTTAGAATGCAACTCTCTCTCAAGTGCTTCAGCTTCATTCCTGTCTTGTTCCTGTAGGGCAGAAATCACTTGAGATGTTAAATTCTGTCGACATTCTCTTCTTATGTTTGAGAGAATAATAGACAAGATGGGCTCCGTAGTAATGTTTCTCCGAGACAGAACCTTTAACACGAAAATATTATTGCACAGTAAAACTCACATAATCGCATATTTTTTTAATGTGAAGTGATCCTTTATAGACCCTAATTGTTAATGATGATAGTTTCATTTATAATGATCTCTCTTGCAAGGTGTACCACCCATATAAGCCACCAACTGAACAACCTAACTATCCCAATATTGAAGAAAAGGTTACTGAATGTGGTTGATGAAGTTAAGCAAAGCAAAAGGGCCATTATTCTGTTCATTGATGAGTTGCACACTCTAGGAGGAATCTATGTGCTAATTTCAAGAATAATAAGAAATTCAAAATCAAAAGAGAAATCTATATGCTAATTATGCAACTTATTGACAGTAACCTATTCAAATAATGAGAGAGTACAAACTTTGTTGAAACCATGGCGGGCCTCAATGATAAATGTTGAGTATAGAGAAAATGGCAAGTCAGTAATCTACAAAGATTCCAAAAATAATGAATATCAACTAGTTTGAATACAATAGGAATATAGTTACTTCAATGCATCCACTTATGAGGATGCACATTAATTTTAAAAAAATCATGCCAAATATGATGTATCCAACCTATGTGGGCACGAGGGTAGATGTGTATCTGTGCATGTGGGCTAGTGCGGTGATGGGTGTAGCTGGTCTACAACTGTGCATGAGAGAGAGTGTGTTTTCAAATTTGCAGTGTTTTTTTTTTTTTTTTCCCATCTTACCAATTGTAAAAGGAGTCACAGACTGAGAAAGGAAGACTGTATAAGCTTAGTAAATATAAGGATTCACCTACAGCTCTACTATTCAATGTATATCTTCTCTTTTGAGAGATATGATGCTATGAAGCATGGGTACTACAATTATGTCGTACGGTATCCGGTGCTGGTCTGCACGCATAGCAGGTACCCAAAACAAATATCCAGTACTGGAATAAATATATTGCGTCTATTTTTTAAAAACTTCAAAAAACCATTGTTGTCAAATTGCGAATCAAAAAATAATATTTAAAAAGGAAAAAACCACTTAATATTAATCCTTAATTCCTATGTAAATTTTGTAATCAAAATTTCCTAAGAAAGAAGGTGTTGCAAGCTGATTACCATGAGACACAACTTGCTCGCAGCTGAGGAAGACACCAACAATGTAACCATAAATATTATTAAGGGAAAACAAACTGCTAACACTACCATAGATGTAACAGAACCTATATATCGACATTATTTATAATATTATATTAGGTCTATAGACTGATTCAGTCCGATTGGTATGACTTTGCTTTAAGAAAAGAAAGGCTGCCACTAGGTTCATAGAAGTAAACTGCAAGAGATAATAAGAAATAAATGAAAACAAACAGAAGTAACAATGGTAAGAAAGTTATAAGATATGCATACCCGCATCAAGAGGAACAGGCGATATGAGCTCAAAAATAGCAGTCACATTGTCCCCAGGCATAACCATCTTAACATTTTTCGGCAACTCTACTTTACCAGTGATATCTGCAGTCCTCATGTAAAACTGAGGCCTATAGTTTGAGAAAAAGGCAGTATGGCGACCACCTTCATCCTTTGTGAGGACATATATTTCTGCCTCAAACCTCTTGTAAGTTTTCACTGACCCAGGCTTGGCAATCACCTGTGCAGCAGAGGATGGTTAAGTACATCCTTCTAAAATTATTTCTAGTTTTTTGCTTATAAAACTGGGGGTTAATTTCATACATTTCACATAACATTTTCCAACACCCATCACTGTATCCACACACATCATGATCACCAATAGAAAAACATTTTAAAACTGGTGTAAGGTTAAAATAGCTTTCCTTTCAAACACATGATGAGTTACCCGAAATTTGCATTTCAGACTCATAAATTGACTGAATTATTTACAAGGTTATTTACTGTCAGCAATATGTTCTACCACAAATACTTCAGTGTGATTTATTGGTGTCATTTACCTGTCCTCGCTGAATATCTTCCCATTTTAAGCCGCGTAGAAGAAGACCCACATTGTCGCCAACAGGGGAGAATGGTTTGTTGGGGATTGCTTGACAAAAAACTCAGTTGCAAGGTTTGTAGAAAAGGCTTGCCAACCATGTCTCATTCCAGATCCGGCTAAACAGCACAAATAATAAAGAACAATGAAATTGAAGACTAACCAATCGAGGCTACATATAGTACCAAAATGAGAACTTTGAGTAATTATGAAACCTTAAAATACGTGCCTTCAACCTAGCTGCAACATTACCAGTGATCTATCAGTTTCGTGGCCCGGGGATGGACTAAAAAGAAAAGACCTCAGTTGATAATGGGTGATGGTTCAAAACATGGGATCAAGGGATTAGAGATTTTTCTATTGCTTGGCAAAAAATAAACTATATATTTATATATAATAAACTATGGTTCAAAATATATTTTGTGGTTAGTAAATCTGAACTATATAATAAACTATGGTTCACATATGATATGTTTTCCTTCTTTTGCATGTGCCTAACGAAGAACATCAGAGATTTGTCAAGCATGTTCATTTGTAAAGGGCATAGCATGTGTCCTTGTCATTAGAATGGAACTCAAAGATCCAAATTCTATCCTAATTTGCATGTGAAATGAATTTTTAGATAAATGCAAATTTATGTTTAATATATATGGAAATGAAAGCTTAATCAAGAATGATAATAAATTATGAGCATAAGGAGATCTGAATTATAAGTGACAAAATCTCAAATAACAAGTAAAGAATAATTAGAAATCAAAAGGACACTGATGGATGAAAAGAGATCAACTACTTGCATAACCCTACAAATTGACTAGAGCATTCTGAAAAATACAGATTGGCCAACTCAATTGATTCAACTTCCAAGGAAGCAATCAAGATTTTTGAAGTGCTCCTAAAACATGAAGACAACATTAAATAGGTTACCCTATCTCATATAATTAAAAAAAAAATAAAAAATTCCTGAGAAGGACTTACAATTCCAATAAGGTTCTCAAGGCAGAGCACAATAGAACTTTTAGTTGCAACAGAGCAGACTGCTAATTTTTTACCCTATAACCATCAGCCGAAAGGTAAATATGATAACAGAGGGAAGCATAGACAAGCAGGGTTCTTCATGTATGAAAAAGGACATGGAATTTGACAACTTTGGAAAGAATAAGTAGTCTTATAACCTAATTAAATGTGGATAACAGATGCAAATTCAACAAAAAACTTAAGAACCGTGATAAAGTGATAATTGCATTTATAAGGTAAAATGTTCATCTTACAGCATCCTTGGCCTCATCCATCAATCTCAATACTCCAGGTCTGGGCTCCACCTGCCCATCAACTCAAATCCATTTTCTTCACAATCACTCATCCAGAATAATCACCCACATAGATGAACTAACAAGTAATCATAAATGAAGAATACAAAAATTTGTACTTACAGTCCCAGATCTGATAATTTCTTTGTATCTTTCAGTCTTCCAATCCTACAGATAGATAACCCTAAAACAATCAATACAACCAACTAATTGATGATACAGATTATAAATCTTTTCAATTCCACAAAATTAGCACAAAGACCATGCACTAGCATAGAAACTCAAAAGGTATGGAACCTTTTCTTACAATCTGCTAGGTTGCTTAAAAAAATACAATGGAGGAAAAACTATATGAACGATTTGCATCGTAATGTCCCTTGATTTGCCCTCTAGAAACAAAAACTCAACTAAAGTTTAGCAAAGAAGGTTATTTGGATAAGTAATCTCCATTTATAAAATAAATAAATAAATAAATAAAAATAAAAATAAATCATGGAAGCTTTCTTGTTTTCCAATTTCCTCAGTATCTTCTCGGTAGCCAAACGCATGCCTAATTCTCAGTATTTTCTCAGTATTTTCAATTTCCCCAGTTTTTATTTGCACATCTAAAAGGGGAACCAAATTGATAAATGGTTATATATAATATTTATATACATACATCCAATTTCCTCACTATATATTTATATATAATATTTATACATATATAATATTAATATACATCCATCCATACATATTTATTTATACATGCATCCTGTAGACTAAAAGTTTGTCATCCATAGTTATCCTGATCTATTTCATTTTAAGTGTCCAAGAGAGGAAGACCAACCTTCAGACAACGCTTATCTTGCACAACCTGTTTGGCACGGGCCCTAACCTCATCTGGATCAATCAGTATGAGATCTAGAGAGAAAGAGAGAGAGACGGTGGAGCTCGCTACCTCGCCAGTGCAGATGACGGTGGCGACGGAGCATCGAAATCGCTCTGAATCTCGAAATCGATCTGAATCTTCGAAAAAGCTCTGAACAGCCGATTGATATCAATCTGAATTTCGAAATCGCTTCAAAATCGCTCTGAACAGCTGATTGATCTTTCGAGAGACGAAGCTTCTTCGTAGAGTTATCTCCTCCGTTTTCTTCGTCGCTGAGAGAGAGAGAGAGAGAGAAAGATGTCTGCGTGTAAGATAAGAGAGAGGTGTGCGTATAAGAAAGAGAGGGCTCAGATTAAAAAATAAGGGTTTCAGAAAAGGGGCACGTGTATCTACCGCATTTGGAGGCGCTTTTACACGCCTTTAAATAGAAAACGGTGCCGTTTTGGTTAAAAAAATATGCGACGGTTATAAAACGCCGTTAAAAATTAAAAAAAGTGACGTTTAATTAAACGTCCCTAAATCCCTGATTTCCTGTAGTGACCCTTTTTACACTTTCTCAAAACATTTTTTTTTAATCACATTTTCAATACTAACAAGTGTCCAGAAAAATAATCAAGTGCTTCTGACTCACATAATTCATAAACTATCAAATAAAAATGTTTTTAATTAATAAAATTTTAAATAATTATATATTCTTTATAATATACTTTATTATTATTTTTTTTTTTTTAAAAAAAAACACAACTATTTCAAACTTGATAATATATAACATTTGCAAGAGGCGTAGGGAATGGGATGCCACCCAAAAATGAGCTGGTGAGAGAAGAAGAATATTTTAGTGTGATGGTGGCGGAAGCAACGATAAATGTTTGCCTAATCCCCCACATGCATGCATGCTTCTAGCAAACTCATTAGTCGACACTCACTTTGGGAAGCTAGCAAAAAGCTAGTTTTTAATTTTTTTTAGCCAAAAAAACTAGTTTTTTTATTCAAGTCACTACCAAAAAGGTTAACTTTTTTGGCTAAAAAAGTCAAAAGCTAACTTTTTACCAACTTCTTAAAACACCACAAATTTTGATTGGAAGAACCTTTTGACTTTTGTACCAAATTTTTCATTCACAGTAGGGTTCAAATTTTTTTTTTTTTTTTTTTTTTTGATAACCGAGTGTCCGGGCCAGCACCCCTTCGGAGTGTCGCACCTCGACTAATCTCGGGGCCCTGAGCTTATCGACCGGGCAAAGACGCAGTGACCCGCCAGTAGCCAGCCGGGGGTGGGATTCAAACCTGAGACCTAGTGAGGAGCATACTCCTAGGTCTCTAGTCCCTTGCCCTCAACCAACTGGGCTACCCTTGCGGGTTTACACTAGGGTTCAAATTAAAAGAACTAAACAAACACTCCTTTCTTTTTCTTTTTCTTTTATATTTGTTTAGTTTTTTTTAGGTTCACTTTGTAGAAATTTAGGATGTTAGATAAACAAGGTCAAATCCGAAGCCCAATAGATGGCTAAGGGCTTCCCAAGCACCTTCGCAAAATCCCAGTCATATGAGGAGGCCCGATCCTGAGATTTCCAAAACCAAAATCGATAATTAATTAATAAATTTATGAGGCCCTTCACATTTTTTTTTTCATTGAATGAAAAAAAAAATTTCCTTTTTGTGAATCCAGATGAATAATTTCTTTTAAGAGTCATGATGAACTGAAATCAAAATACTTTTTAAGATCAAAATTCAAAATAAGAGCACCACAACCATTTAACAAAATAAAAAACTTTTAAATTATATGATGTTACAGAGAAGGCCCTATGAGTGACATGGAATAATTGTCTACAAAGAAAAAGAAGAATACATTAAATTTAAATTATGTGATGTTACTAAATTGAACAAATAATTTCAGATATTGCAAACTGAAACACAAAGTATAGTCTCATCTAAACAGCCTTATCCTCATAATATATAAGTCTCATTAAGCAATTACCAAGTCAAATAACAAATTTTACATAAATCACCCAAACAATCAACATAGCTTTAACACATAATTCACCAACTCTAGGGTTTCAATCTATCAGAAAAATAAATTTTCAAAATTTGTTATGTATGTGCAAGTCAACCAAAAAAAAAATATTTGTATATAAATAAATAAATAAATCCAAGGCTATGTTTGTTTGGAGGGAAAATATTCTCTAAATTTTTCCAAAAGAAATAATCATAAAATGGTGGAAAATTTCCAAGAAAATATTTCCGCCAAAGCAAACAGACCTTAAATTTCAAAAAACAAAAAATAGACTGCAACTTTACAATGAAGAGTCATTAAAAAAAATTAAAAATAAATAAGTGATAGAAACTTACTCAAAATTGGTAGTAATTTAGACGAGTGTGCTGCTGCTAAGTTTGCTCTTTGTTGGGCTACTGCTACCAAGTTGTTGGAAAAATTGGATTAAGAGTAATTAGGGTTAGAAATTAGATAGGGAGAGAGAATGAGCCTTTTTAATTTTGGATGAGCCTTTCAATTTTTTAATAGGTCAATTTATTTTAAGTTAGTTTAGACCTTTTTTTATTTTTTTAAACCTAAAACATACTTAATATATTACAGTAAGCTATAATAGGAAAAGCTCCTTTTTGGGTCTATTTTCAAGGGCCCTAGGCCATGGTCTGGTGGGCCTATGCCCAAGGCCGAGCCTGCATATGAGCTTGTGGGTACCTAATTGATTAGCAAAACTAAAAGCGAATTCGGACAAAATTTGTAAATTCAAATTAGTCACGTCCTAGATTTGTGATGAATTTACATTTTTTGCAATAATAATAATAATAATAATTGTGTGACATGGACTTATAATTCCATGTTCATAAATACAACTCACATTCAAATTTGTCTTTGCATTAGGTGACTTAAATAGTTGCTTTAAACTCCAAATTTAAGAAAACTTTCGCATTTTAAGAACTAACAATGATATCCCTGCTACACTTTTAGACCATCTCTAATTTTGCATCAGATTAAACATCAAATTTGAATTTAATGAAAAAAGTCACTTTTTTTCTCTCCAATAGTTTCACCAAATTGATATCAAACTAAGAACGGAGCAAAAGTTTCATCAAACTGAGGATCTGCGTGATATTTCACCATTTCACTGGGCTGTAACGTTGGAGGTGGACCCCTGCCGGTTGACCCACCGGTCGACCGGCGCATGCAAACTGCTTCAACCTGCTTCAATTTGGTTGGCCTATCTGCCAATCAAACTACCTACTTTATCTAATTTTACCCGTCGTTTGGTTACTGAGAAAATTGTTTCGTCCATTTCCTAACCCACCAAACAGAGTTTGTTACTTGTCTATTGGCCATAGCGACAACAACAGTTCGTGGTCTAACAACTTCAGACACTAGTCTCTCTCATCAGAACAATGACAGACGAGTCCAATTCATCTGCAAAAAACAAGAAACCGAACGTTGAGTCCAACAATGAATTCGGTGACTATGGATCGGTAACGAAGGAGCAGAGAATTGATGCATTTGATGATAGCCAGGAAGAGCTCAGACCAGAAGCTTCGAATGAAAAGAACAGTAATGAAAATGGTTCCTTAGAAGATAAAGAGAAAAATCAAGAAGTGGGTTTTGAAATGGAGGGAAATAAATAATAAACGAATTGGGAACAGAAAGGGAAGGAAAAATAAAATTTGAGATTGCCAACCCGGTCGACCCACCAGACGTTCCTTTCGCTTTGATGCACTTCACTTTGATGCGCATTACAGTAGAACCATTGGAGCTGCTCGTATTAGATTGAGAAAATTACTTTTTTTTTAACTCAGATTTGATGAAAATTTTACTAAACCGTTAGAGATGCTCTTAGACGTAGTTGTTATGCATATTAGAACTCTCTTTTATTCAAGTTTCAATATGTCTTCGACGAAGAAAGACTATCACTGTGGGATTCTTATCAAACAATCCACATTCATAGTATAGATATCATTTCGAGTGCTCTCTAAGCTTCATCATCCACCTACTAATGGGTGATGTAATTCATATTTTGAAATTCTCTCTTGATTGCATCATTTTCTTGAACATTTTTGCACATATTGATCTAATTTATTACAATCAATAAGGCTATAAATTCAGAATTATTTATTCAAAATTTATCAAAAAATAGGAATTAATGATTTAAATTCATTCCATTCATGAATTTCATATTTTATCAATTTAATTTCTACCATACATACTCATTCTAGGTAAATTACGGATTCCTAATTCTGGGATCTTAGTTTTTTTGTATTACAATTAGGGCTGCAAATGAGCAGAGTCGTTCATGAACAGGCTCGAGCTCGGCTCGGTAAGATTTCGTTCGAACTCGGTTCGTTAATTTTTTTTTACGTTCAAGCTCGAACTCGAGCTCGTTAAATTTTTAATAAACAAGCCCAGACATTTTAAATCTCGACTCGTTAGCTGGCTCGTTTAATATTTATTATTTATATATTAAATAATATAAAAATATGTATAAAAAATAAGAGAAATATGCTATTTATATATTTAAAAAATATAAATGTAAATAATAGTTAACTATAGATAGTACATTTATATAATAATGGTACCATAAATTATTATTTTAGTAAAATATAGATTTTTTTTTAGTATGTTTATATATGTTGTATATATAATTGTATAATCAAAATTTTAATTGTAACTTCAGTCTCACATGCAAGTATGAATTTATAAATTTTTTGGCTCGTTAAAACTCGTGAACAGGATCGAGCTCGAGCTGAGTTGGAGCTCGGGGTGAGCCTAAGCCAACCCGGCTCGAGTTCGAGTTCGTTAAAATCTTAATAAAAAAGTTCAAACATATTAAAAATTGGCTCGGCTTGTTTGCAACCCTAATTACTAGGGGTGGGCGTGGGTCGGTTGCGGCCACGGAACCTCCAATCCGCCATCCGTCCGCCAGATTGGCAGATTGGAGAAAATCAATCTGCATCCGTCCGCCAATTCGGCGGATGTGGTTGAGCGGATTGGCGGTTTGGCGGATGAATGCGAATCGGTTTGGCGGTTTAAAATTTTATAAATTTTCAACATAATTCAACTTGTGCACTTCCTCATTCAACTTGTGTACTTTCTAAGAAGAAGAAGAAGAAAGTATTACAGTCAATGAATTAAAAAAGTATTACAATCAATGTATACCTCATCCAAAGAAAGAAAGTTTGAACTTTAGAATATCACAATCATTACATGTATCATCCACATATTACAATCAGAGTATGATTCATCCATATAAAGTATTACAATATGTGGTTCATAAAATACAAAAATAATTCAAACCTTAAAGAAGGTGCTTAAGAGATACTAATATCGTTAAACTACAATTACTCAGTAAAATCTCTTTCTTGGCGGCGAAGTAAGATTAGTTTGAGTTAAAGTTGGCCATTTAAACTAGTGAAACTATTATTTGTCCAAGCTAATTAGGTGCTAGAACAAAAGAGAGAAGGTTGGAGAATGATGGAGATTCTATGTCTCTGTATTGTTAAATCTATATATGTTTTTGAAAACAAAAACCAACCAGCATTTATCATATTTTCTATTTATTATTTTTAGAGTTAGATTTAAAAACTAAAAAATATAGATAAATAATACGTTTATTTTTTTTAATTCAAAAAATATATTCAAGTTGAAAACTTTTTTTCAATAGAATATTTAAACTCTTTTTCAATTGAAAACACAAACAAAATATTTAAACGAATTGAAAATACAAAGTCTTATAAATTAATAAGGGTGCTCGCGGTTTGGCGGTTCGGTTACGGTCAAAAGAATCTCAAATCCGCCATCCGTCCTCCAAAGTGACGGATTGGAGAAAATCAATCCGCAACCATCCACCCGTCATCACGCATCCGTCCAAAATGCGACGGATCAATTCGATTCGATCGATTTTGACGAATCGATATATCCGCTGCTCACCCCTACTAATTACAATGGCACAAAGCGTAGGGGTTGGTCATGCTGATCAAAATTAAATCATTAAATAGAATATGAGAGAAACAGATGGTACAAAGTGGATCGGTGGCGCAATGGTTGCGTGTTCGATTCACGTCGGGTTCTGTTTGGCAAGTTGGGTTGGGGCTAAAATAGCCACAAAAGACAAAACAGGCTATTTTAGCCACAACAAACAAAACATCACATCCAACCCATAATCATTACACTCTTCTCTCACAAAAAAAATCAAAAAAGCCAAAAAGCCAAAAAGCCCTTCCCAAACCAAACTTTTTAGCCCAGGCTAAAATAGCCAAAAAAACCAAAAAGTTAACCCACTTCCCAAACGGAGGCTAAATCATTAAATAGAATATGAGAGAAACAGATGGTACAAAGTGGATCGGTGGCGCAATGGTTGCGTGTTCGATTCACGTCCGGTTCAAATCCCACTTTCTTTTTTTTCTTTTTTTTTTTATAGTTTTGGAATTTGATCAGTCACTGTCACTACTGTTCATAGTCAATGGGGAGAGGACTGGGAAGCTTCAAGCTCTCTTCCTACTATTATATTTTCCAAAAGCTAATGGGGAGAGGACTGGGAAGCTTCAAGCTCTCTTCCTACTATTATATTTTCCAAAGGCTACGAAACGAATATTTCTTTTTGAAAAAGGGTATGCATTGTTTCCACACCTTTTTTTCCCCTCCAGAATTCAAAGTCCTCACGAAGAATCGAAGAAACTTGGCACAATTTCCATCACTACTTCTTCACTGCTCTCGCGTTCACAATTGCTTCACTTCCAAGTTCCACACAAATTCCACCACTACTTCTTCACTGCTCTCGCGTTCACAACTGCTTACTTGCAAGTTCCATAGCCTTTCACTATAACAACACCAAACCCAATCCCAATTCTCTGGAACTAGAGTGGGTTTTGGAAGACATCGATGGCTGGTTCACTGGTTGGAGGTGCTGCTTTGGGAGCTGCGTTTGGGGAATTACTGCAAGCTGTTGACAATGGGATAATTAATGCTGTGCAATTCAAGTCCACCCTCACAAGCCTTAGGTCGAGGCTGAATCAGCTAAGCCCGATGCTTGAAGAAATCGACAACCTAAACAGAAAATTGGGCCGATCGGAGCAAGACACAGAGATGTTCACCAACAGTTTGGAAAAAGGTCTACACTTCGTAAATAAATGCGAGAAGATCCCCTGGTGGAATTACTTCAAGAAATCGTTCTACACAAATAAGCTTAAGGGCTTAGAACAATATATCGTGATGTTCTTTCAGATCGAGGCGCAAGCACAGATGTCTATGGACAGCAGGAGGATTTTGATGGGGGTGAGAGGAGTGGATGAGAAATTAGAACGTATGAACACGTCCGGAGGAGGAGGATCGGGTTGTAATGGGAAGGGAATTGCCAGTTGCTGTGAAGTTCCTGGAGTTCCCAATTTTGTTGTGGGATTCGAAGATCCTCTTCAAGAATTGAAGACAATGGTGCTCGAGGGTGGAGAACAGGTGGTTGCCATTTCGTGTAAAATAAATTGATAGAGAGAGAGAGCAAATGAATAAATGTGTATATATATTTGTTGTGTGTTTATACAAAGGGAGCTTAGCTCTCTATTTATAGACTGATATTGGGCATGCCATGCGAGACGCGAGGCACCGAAAGGCAAGGCTAATGCTTTAGCCGAAAGGAACAAACACAATGATAACAAAGGCACAAAGGCGCCGAAAGCTGATGCTATAACAATTATATACAAAGTATAATAATATACTAACATATAATTTGGAAACTAAACTAGCATAAAGCCTGTGATTTTAAAAGAAACCCAGAAATTTATTTTCCAAAATCTGTAATGGACAATTTTTGACAAACAGTGTGTTTGAATAGGCAAATTCACGGACAATATCTTCTTTGTGGCCTTTTCCAAGGCACCTAACCTCATGGTCATAACTGAGAGATTATTACAACACAACGGTTATCAAGTTCCCCAGTTTCAAACAGATGAAGAGGCAATGAATCAATTGGAAAGCATGCTGAAACGAATAGGACAACCTATATTGCTAGTCTTGGATGATGTGTGGTTTGGATCGGAGTTCCTTGTTGAGAGGTTCAAGTTCCAAATATCAGATTACAAAATCTTGATTACATCCAGATCTGTATTTCCAAGATTTTCTTCAACATATAGATTGACCTTGTTGAAAGATGAACAAGCCATGGCTCTTTTCTGTCATTTAGCATTTCCACAAGGTGGGAGCTCCTCCTACATACCAGATGATCTTGTTAACAAGGTCAGAAACAAATATTCACTTCTGACCTATTGATTTAATAGCAAATCATATTGTGACATGTATATTTTCATATTAAATAAAATTAAAAATATAGAAACACAAAGATCACATAACATCTTGTAATTGTATATATAGTATTGATATGGTTGTGATATAATATAAGTATACATAGTTGTGAAAAACTTACTTAGAAATATTAATTTGCAAGATGATGATGAGTTTCAATATCACCCCCTTACAACTACAGATGTTCAATTCATTGCGTCAAAAGACTTGCAAATAGAGCATCCCTTTGCTGACTTGTTTGGCAGCATTGAACTGCAGATAGTGAGAGGCTGTGGAGGGTTCCCTTTGGCCCTTGAAGTGGTTGGCAAATCCCTCAAAGGAGAATCTGAGGTCACCTGGAACAATAGGCTGAACCGGTGGTCTGAAGGGCAATCTATTTTCTATTCTGACGCAGCACCAAATGGAGCCACTGATTTACTTAATCGTCTCCAAACCACCTTAGATGACTTGGATGTAAAAATCAAGGAGTGTTACTTGGACCTGGCTGCATTTCCTGAGGACCAAAGGATCCCTGCCATGGCACTTGTGGACATGTGGGTGGAACTTTACAACCTTGATGAAGTTAGTGCCTTTGCCAACATCCATGAACTGTCTGATCGGAATCTCCTCAATCTTGTACCTACAAGGTATTGCTTTTTGTTAAGAGATGTCTTGTATGTTGGTGTGTGTGCGCTCTTACTAGTAAGATGAATAATGCTCTGCATGAATGCCTATGTTAAATCCAGTGTGCCGGGAGGTATAGCCTCTCATCATATTGCAGCAGGGACGCTATTGCTGTTGTTTCTTCCAATTAATGGACTAATCATAGAATTATATATTTGCTATTGTTGTATATACCTATGAATTGATATTAACCATCCAATTTCATTCCCATTCACAGGAAAGATGCAAACGAGATCAATGGCTACTACAATGAGCATTTTGTCACGCAGCATGATCTACTTAGAGAGGTAGCTACCCGCCAGATTGACCAAAATCCCATCCACCAGAGTAGATTAATAATGGACATCAGTGGCAATGATCTTCCCAAGTGGTGGATTGAACAAGGGCAGCATCCTATCCGCCTTGTGTCTATATCCACAGGTGTGCTTATCTTTGTGTATTTAAAATTAGGATAAATTATACTTTTTAACTCCTATAGTTTGACCTAAATTTTACTTTGGTCCCTATTGTTTCAAATTGAACAATTTAGCCATACAAGTATTTAAAATAATCTCACGCACAATATGTGCTATTTGTCTCTTTTCCAACAAGTGACAGTGCAGAAAATTGGTTGCAGGTGAAATCTCAAACGGGCACAACATGCAACTAAGTAAAGTTGAAGTTCTACTGCTGAACATCCAAATAAGGAACTACACCTTACCTCAGTTGATGGAGAAAATGGATCAATTGAAGGTTCTGATCGTCACCAACTACAGTTTTGGCTCAGCTGAGATCAGCAACTTTCCACTACTTGGACATTTATCCAGTCTAAAGAGAATCAGATTCGAGCATATTTCAATCTCTTCCATTGCTAAAACCATGCTACGACTAAAAAATTTGCAGAAAATATCCTTGGTTATGTGCAAGTTTGATGACGCTTTTGGGAACTGTACTATCCAGATTGCCGATATGTTGCCAAATCTTGTGGAGATTGTTATTGACTGTTGCAATGATTTAGTGGAATTTCCAGCATGGCTCTGCAATATCAGCAGCCTTAAGAGGCTTAACATCACCAACTGTCACGAGCTCATTGCACTTCCTGAAGCATTTGGAAAGCTAGATAATTTAGAAGTGCTAAGGCTTCATGCCTGCACAAAACTTTTGGAGCTGCCCGAGTCAATTGGAAGACTCCAAAAATTTAGATTTCTTGATTTGTCTGACTGCATAAGCATAAGTAAATTGACTGAACGGATGGGGGAGTTATCCAGTCTAAGAAAGCTGAACATGAGAGGTTGCCGTGGATTGTCAGAGTTGCCATCCTCTGTGAAGAATCTTAGGCAATTGGAGGATTTGATATGTGATGAAGAAACTGGTTATCTCTGGGAGAATTATAAGATTCATCTCCCCAATCTGAAGTTTCATGTGCTTAAAGAAGACGTCAACCTAGACTGGCTTAAATGATATTCATCCTTAATGAGCCTTCACCGAGTTGAAGATTTTTTATTCCGTGCGGAAACATAAACCTGAAATGGCTCACAATCTTTGTTGCAGAAGCTAAAAAAATTCATGTTCTTTTGAAGAGTTCCTTCTGGGAGAATGACTTGAGCACTTGATTATGCTTTTGTTTTTCGTTCTGATGCCTATGTGTATGAAGCTATTAACTGTATTGTATCGTGTACAAACACAATTTCAAAATTCTTAGACAATGATGTAATGCTATGAATTGAAATTGTTGAAAGATCAATTACCAAAAATTTTGGAAATACTTATCTTGATGTAACCAAAATTTTGTATCGGATTTGGTCCTATTTTCCTCAGCATGAATTCCAATTCGGTTGATTGCCTCTTGCATCTGTTTGAAACTTGGGCACTCGATAAACATGGTGTTGAAATACCTTCAGTCAAAAACCGAGGCAACCTGTCTTGCCATGTATTTTATTTTTTATTTTTTTATGAGGGTGTCCGGGCTTCGCCAACTACATTAAAAATCATCATTGAGTCTTGTTAATGGTTCCCTTAAAATCCAACATTTTCTGCATGCAAGTGCAGTGGGTGACCATGGGGTTCTTGGCACATCGACCTCAATATATACAAGAGGGACTACTCTAAGCAGCCGGAAGAAGGCCCCAAAGTGTACTACCAAAAAAACAAAAAACACCCCAGAGAGAGAAAGAGGACTGGAGGAACTTATAGAAGAGCTCAGCACAACTGTTTACGGAGTAGAAATTTAAACAACACTGAAAGTTCTAACAGAGAAAATTTGGTAAAGAAGAGAGAGAGAGAGATCACAATCGAACAAAAAACACAATAAAATAAAATAAAAAATGACTTCGACGAAAGTAACGGGTTGTATATATTCTACTAGCAAAGGGATAAAACTCAACTTTCTTCCCTACAAAAGCACAATATATTATGCAGATTATGCAGATACCTTTAACAAGTGACTGACTAGATCTCATACCGTGGTCACTAGGATGTCTATGAGATATTCTATCATGCATTGTAAAGCTCAACTTTCATTACAAACCCGAGAGACCAGAATGTTCACTCATAGCTGAGGAAACTGATTTCTGAAGCTCCAGAAAGAAATTGTAATCAGACTGCATAGATGACCTCTCCACTGCTGTCGATATCAAGATCAGGATCTGAGTCCAAATCTTCCATGTCATCATCCATGTCCAGGTCTAGATCGTAAAGGCCAACTGGCGGTATGGTAGCCTCGGAAATTATTTGCATGATTGCATCAATGCTCTGCATGGGTTGATCAGGCTCTTCATACTGGTTGCTCATCGTCTTTTCGTCCATGAGGTCTGCAGGGAGGTTCTTTAGAAACCACTCGTGGTTCCTTATCTCAGGAATGGTGATCCTCTGTTGCATGTGTACATCAAATTGCATTAGGCTCATACAGCAACAAAACTAGACTAAATAATGAGGCTGCTCAAATCCATAGCATAAATATTTTAATAAATGGTGAAATACCCATAATGAATTAATGGATAAATTCCAATGATTATAATCCTGTATAACAAAGTGCACTACCATAACAGCTCTTGGTACAGATCCCTCATATATGTAATTAAGATTGTAATCATAGTCATAACAATATGCATGCTATGGCATGCTCTTCTCGAAGCAGAATTCAGAGTACAGGATTCTCATCCTACTGTGGCTGCGCTTACTCCCAATTCCACTTAGTTCTTAGGGCCTAAAAAACATTTTCTACAACCCTCAGCTATAGCCCTTCTAAGAGTCCAAAGCAACATGGAGGAAACATTCAAGCTTCAATTTTTTTTCCTGTTCCCAAGATGCTCCACTTCATGGAAAGAGGAGGAACATCTTCCCTCAGAATCCCCACACAACGCTTCAAAATAATAATCACCCTATCTTGAAAATCTTGGTTAAAACATGCACACAATTACATAGAGGATTGAAAAAAAAATATTAAACACGCCAAGTTTCTTGAAAATCTGAAATTACTAGCCTTTGTGGGGTCTTCAACAAAGATCCTCGAGATTAGGTGCCGACATTCGCGAGATATTTGGATATTATCTGGAATAGAATACTGGACTTGAAGAATTCTCTGCAGAAAAGTGAATGAAAATTTCTCGTGCTCAGTAAAATTACTCATACAAATAGTAGATACTGATGTCATGAAAGGTCCAAAGAAATACTTGTATTGTCTTCCGGAAGTCTTTTGGTTCATCAGGGTCCTCAAAAGGACATGAACCAACTAGCATCACATACAATGTCACACCGCAGGACCAAACATCTGCAATCTGAAATCGCAACGATGTATGAGACCCCAAAATTACAGGCTTCAATTCTTAGATATATTCTAATGAAGCAGCAAAACTACAGGGGAAATATCAAATAAGTCCTACTTTTCCAATGAAATTTCCATTTGCCTCCCATGTTTTATCTTCTCCTCCAAAACATGCTACAAGCAAACTTTCTCCTAATTCAATAATTGAAGCTAATGGAATGACATAAACCAATGCTTTACGCTGTGTTTGAATCATGGATTTGGATAGGGATTTGGAAAAGAAAACGGAAATGATGGGCGAAATGTGAATGAAATATAAGCAAGATTTGGAATAGGGGAAAATGTGGGTGAAATGTGAATGAAATATAAGCTAAATTTTTTTTCGATTTCCCTTTCCTTTTCCAAATCCATACCCAAATCCATGATCCAAAATCAAGAAAAGTTGCACATAACTGGAACAAAGACTAAAATAGGATAAAAAAGATTTGCAAGGAGTGTCCATGTAGTGTATTTAACAGTTGCCAAAATTGTGAAGTTGGGTAGAATTGAAACATGTAATCTCACCTACTGACTTAACGAAGGTAAATTGCTATTAGATGTCCACCTCAGACAAGTTCACATGCAAATCTAAGAGAGTAAAGCACCCATGACAAACATCTCAGCTAACATCTAAAGCAAATGAATAAAGACTTGCCAATTTCTTCCCAAAATTAACAGTGGAATGCTCTCTCTAAATTGAAGACATTTTAGTACAGCCTATCTGATAACAACAATAAAAGCATGCCTACTTCCTTCTTTGGTCGAGCTTACATTTTTGTTTTGTCATTAAATGATTACTATTCATGGCAATCAACTTATTATAAGTACTATGACATCATGTAAATTTAACAAAGCAAAAAAAAAAAAAATTAGGCAAACTTGACTTTACTCCCCTGTGGTTTGGGTCGGGTGCGGTTTACTCCCCTGGCGTTTGGAAATAACCACATAACCCCCATGTGGTTATTGGACCAAAGCGCACATGTAACTTCTGTTAACAACAGTAGTAAATTGACTGTTATACCCTTATCTCTATCCTTTCATTTAAACTAAACTTATATATATGATATATATATATATATTGTTCACAGTTCTAGAGTGAGAGAAGAGAGAGAACAACGACGAGGGGCCAACAATCAACAAACCTCAACAATCAATTTCACAAGTTTTTGATACCCAAAATTGCGGCTGAAATCTGTTGATTAAAAAAAAATCCAAAACAAAGAGAACAAAAGAGAAGAATTGATGTACCATCATAGAACTGATGCACCCACACCATGATCCATCCTTACTCCATCATCATCCATCCTTGGCCACCACCACTATAAGGCCAAATCAAACCCAAACACTTAGATGATATTGTTCGTGGGTTTGCAAATCTCACTCTTTCTCTCTCTAAATCATATTGTATATTATAGGAATGGTAAAACATTTTGTATTGATAAAAGATAAATCTTTGCCTCGTGGATTTGCAAATCTCACTCTTTCTCTCTCTACAGCATATTGTATATTATAAGAATGGTAAAACATCTTGTATTGATAAAAGATAAATCTTTGACTACCCAAACCCACTTTCATACCACAATATAGATAGAAACCATACGAATATGTGAATTAGAGAATCACAGATTAAGAAATCTATTTTCATGTGTAGAAAATGTATACATATATATATATATATATATGTATAATATCAAACCCAGTTCACTGCCCAAATCCAAAACCATTTTTCTTGATCATGTGTACATATACATATACATATATACATATCAAACCCAATCCACTGCCAACCCCTCAACCCCCATCTTCTCCTGTGTCATTCTCTCTCTATTTGTATGTGCATATATGTGTATATATATATATGTAATTGATTTTCAGGGTAAGGGGGTATTTTTTGTAAATCTGAAGGTGAATGAGGGGTAATTTAGTCTTAAAAATTACGTTACTCTCCTTTTAGACGCATGAACCTCACATTCCGTTAATTTAGATGGAAAAGCTGACGGTGTTCTTTGGTCCAGAAATCACATGGGGGTTATGTGGTTATTTCCAAATGTCAAGGGGGTAAACCGCACCTGGCCCAAACCACAGAGGCTAAAGTGAAGTTTGCCCAAAAAAAAAAAACATAAAAGACATGGACTGTGTGAATCATGCTATAATAACATTCATGTGAGCCCCATGAACTAAAACAACCAAAAGCAAAAATGTTTGGTTAAGAAATTTCAGACGAAGAGTAAGAATATTAAAAAAAATTTAGTAGAGTAATTTTAATTTCAATTGCTTTATTTAATCATTGATTCATGCTTTGACTGGAAAATACAAAGACTTACGTGAGATGTGTTGAATGGCTTGATATACATAGGCCCATTCCCTAACAACTTAAGCTTTTGGATAATTTTGTATATTCAACTTGTATTTGTTTACAAAGAGTTCATCAGTTTATATAGCCTTAAATCTATAACTGAAAAAAGAAATACAAAGTTCCTATTTACACCACAATCTTTCCTTATTCCTACGATACACAATTATGCCATATATACACAATCCTGCCATATATATAATATATTTTCACACCCCCACTCAAATTCAAGGTATTTTAGCAAAAAACACTGAGAGCTTGCTAAGAAGAAACTGAAACTGAGCGGTAGTGTGAGTTTTGGTAAAGAAGTCCGCAAGTTGCAAAGCCGAGAAGACAAAAGGAAGCGAGATAGAGCCAGACTACAGATGCTGTCGGACAAAGTGACAATCAATCTCAATGTGTTTCGTCCGTTCATAGAAGACAGTATTGTGGGTAATCTGAAGCACTGCGGTTGTTAGAATAGAGAGAGGTCAGAAAAGACTGAGGGACACCCAAATTATAGAGAAGACAGCGAAGCCAAACAAGCTCAGCAATAGCATGAGCCATAGCATAATACTCAGCTTCAGCAGCAGAGTGAGCAACAACAGTTTGTTTCTTGCTTTTTCAAGAGATCAAGGAATTGCCAAGAAGCATACAGAAACCAGTGGTAGATTTGCGATCATTAACATCACCAACCCAATTAGAATTAGCATAGACCACCAAGTCTAAAGAGGAAGTAGAAGACAACAGTAAGCCCTGAAATATAGTACCCCGAAGATAGCGAAGAATGCAAACCAAAGCAGCCCAATAGATAGAGCGAGGAGCAGAAACGAATTGACTAACCACATGAACAACACATACAAGATCAGGGCAAATGACAATCAGATAAACTAAACAACCCACAAGCTCGCGATATAAAGTGGGATCAGCCAAAGGAACTCCATTAGTAAAGTAAGCTTCACATTAAGCTCAATAGGTGTATCAAAAACCTTAATATCAGTAAAACCAGCACAGTGAATGACCTCAATAGCATACTTAGCCTAAGACAGGAAATAGCCCTTTGGAGAAGAAGCAACCTCAACACCAAGAAAATACCGCAATGGACCCAGATCCTTCATTTCGAAGGTGCGAAAAAGATGCTGCTTAACCTCGGAGATAGCAGAAGAGTTAGAGCCAGTGATGATCATATCATCCACATATAGTAAGAGAGCAACAAAGCCAGCCGAGGTATGTCTCAGAAACAAAGCAAAGTCGGAAGCATAAGAATGAAATCCAAGCTCAGTAACAGTAGTCTGAAAGCAATCATACCAAGTACGGGGAGATTGCTTCAGACCATACAGAGCACGCCGAATGCGACAAACGTGTCCAGAGGAATGGGGAAGGCTAGGGGGAGGACACATATAAACCTCCTCAGTGAGATGACCATTAAGAAAAGCATTCTTAACATCCATCTGATAAAGAAGCCAAGAACGAACAGCAACGACAGAGATCAAAGTACGGACAGTAGTCATCTTGGCAACAGGAGCAAAGGCCTCCTCATAATCAATACCATACTCATGTGAGACACCTTTGGCAACCAGACGAGCTTTGTAGCGCTCAAGAAAACCATCAGAATGAGTCTTGACTTTGTAGACCCATTCGTAACCAACCAGATTCTAACCAACAGGCAAAGGAACCCAGTGTTTTTAAAGGCTCAAGACACACTAAGGCGCCGAAGGTCTCTTGGAGCCTAGGCGCAAGGCGAGGCGCGGGCTTTATTGAAGAAGGCGCACAGTATTCATAAAAAATAGAAAAATTAATATAGACTAATCATTCATAGTAGTAAGACAATTTTTTAAAAAATAAAAAGTAATCAAGATTCAAGACAAAATATAGAATAATTCTCAAAGCCATGAAAGTGCATATTACATAACATTCCAATTTTCAAAGATCAAATAATCCACATTCAATAAAATAAAAACATAAACACTAAACATCCAAAACATAAATATCCAACAAATATTAATATATGTCTTAACTTAACACTTAAAAACAAAACATAAATATCCAACAAATACTAGTATACGTCTTAACACTTAAAAACGTCAATATCAAAAGAAAGGGTATGTTAGGTCGGTGTCAGTCAATCATCATCCTCAACATCAATGGTAACATCTTCTCCATCAGTTGATTTATATGCCTCAACATCTTTCTCCTCTGTGTCATCTGAGCCCGCTTCCTCTTCATCTATTAATTGAAGTGGAGTCAATGTTGATGATTTAGATATCCTCGGTTGTGCCTTTGAGCGTGAACTTGTTGCTCTACTTGCATGGCTACTTTCTTCTACAGAAGCTCTAGCAACAGTGGCCTACGTCAAGCCATCATCATCATCAAACACAGGCTCATTATCTTCATCTGATTCTCCATCCATCCTCCCAAGCAACCACTCATTGCTTTCATCAATATTTTGCAAAGATATGGGATCAAGAGTGTTGCGCATGTCATACCTAAATCTCAATGTTCTATTGTATTTGACATACACTAAGTCATTGAGACGTTGTTGTTCCAATCTATCTCTTTTCTTGCTATGAAGCTGCAAGTATTAAAAAGATATTAAATTCTATATAATGAGAATAAAAAATATTTGAATTGAACAAAAAATTAGGTAGAATGTTAAATACTCACATGTTCGAATACAGTCCAATTTCGTTCACAACCCAATGAACTACATGTTAGGCTAAGGACTTTTATGGCAAAAGTTTGCAAGTTTGGAGTATAAGAACCATATGATGCCCACCAATCAGCTGCGATAATCCACTAGTTAGAAATAATTGTTACCAAGTATTGAGTTTTACTAAAAGTATAACTCAAAATAAACTCTATGAGTCTATAATATATTACCCGGTGCTCTTGCATTTCTTTGCCTAATCGCAACAGCCTTGCCAAAAAGACTCTCAGCCTTCATATAAATACTCATCTCATTAGTGATCAAATCTTGAACAGTGACATCCGGGACCAACCTTTGCATGCATTCATAAAACCCATTCATCACTTCATGATCTCTTTGCACCTCTAACGCTTTTGGATAAAAGAATTCTGGGTTAAGAAAATGTGCAGCTGCATGTAAAGGTCGATGCAATTGAACATCCCATCTTTTGTCAATGATTTCGAAGATTTCATTATACTTCTCTTCTTTATGATCAAATGACTCATCATGTTTAGCAACGTAGGCCGATTGTAAATGTAGCCATGTGCTGCAATACCCCTTTCAAATGTCTTTTTTAGTCTAGGTATCTTGAAAATATCTTCTAACATCAAGTAGCACATGGTGTCCAATACAAGTGTTCATACTTAGCTTCCAAAAACCTCCCTATAATGTAACAATAATGAAGAATTATTATTTTCAAGTTTTTAAATTTTAAATACAAAACAAACTATGAGTAAACAATTTTGATGTAAGGAATGAGGAAATATTCTTAACCGCCAACACATTAGCTGCAGCACTATCAGTGATAACTTACACCACATTCTCTTTTCCAACTTTCTCCACAAACTTGTCTAGTAATTCAAATAGCTTTTGTCCATCCTTTGAATAGCTAGAAGCATTAACCAACTCAACAAACATGGTTCCTCTTGGATAATTAACTAAAAAGTTAATCAATGTCCTTCCTCTCTTATCAGTCCAACCATCAGCCATTATGGAACACCCGTATTTTGCACAATCCTCTTTATGATACTTCATCAAATCTTCAGTATGTTTCACTTCTTTTTTGAGTTGGGTAACCCGCACTTCATGGTAAGTCGGTGGCTTCATACCAGGACCATATTGGCCAATGGCTTCAATCATTGGTCCAAAACTCTCATAATTTACTGTATTGAAAGGGATACTAGCATCATACATCCACCTTGCAAATCTTTGCAGTGCCCGAGCTCTCATTTCTTTTTTGTAAGGATCATTTGCATTAATTTTTGTTTGTTTCCCTTTTGCTTGGTCTCTTCGATTTTTCACCACTGATTCAGGATTGGGTGTGAAGTAAACATCCATAGGCCCTTTTCTCTTTGGCATTTTTGATTTGGATTTGGATTTGGATGAACCTTGGCTACTACTTGTCAACTTGCAGTGTTGATTGACATTGATCTCAACGACATCATCATCTTCATCTTCATCTTCCATGTCCATGTCATCAAAATCAGGCAACATGTTCATTTCTTCTTTTTGTGTCTTTTTTTTGGACATGAACTCTCTAATCTCTTCTCTTACATGAGAAGTACACTTCGGGCAAGCAGTAACATTCCTATAACCTCCCGCAAGGTGTTGTTTCACCCGATAAACACCTCCATTTGATACTTTACCACAAAAATTACACTCAAACTTGTTTACATTATTCTCCTCCACCAAATGGGCATATTGCCACGCCGGATCTTTTCTATTACTTTCCGATGTCATTTTCTACTTAGTACTTACTACACAACACAAAAAATAAATAACAGAAAAACAATTTCAGTATAATGAATGTAATGTATGTTATGTGATGAATGAATAAATGTATGTAATGTATGAATCAATTTTCTATTTTTTTAATTAATGATGAATTAATTAATTAATGTACATTACATTCCATTACATTCATTCCTATGTTACATTATTTTTTCAAGAAAAACTTTGATCAATTTATTAATTCATCACATTAATAAATTGATTAACTTATGAATCAATTTATCAATTAATTAATCAATCAATTTTCTATTTTTTTTAATCACAACACATTAATCACAACACAATAAATTGATTAATTGATAAATTGATTAATCTTTATTAATCAATTAAATTCTTATTAATCACATTAATCACAACACATTAAATTCTTATTAATCACAACACATTAATCTTTTCTAATTAATTAATCAATTTTCTATTTTTTTAATTAACTTATGAATCAATTTATGAATTAATTAATGTTATGATTCAATGTATGTAATGTAATGAATGTATGTAATGTATGAAATTAACTTATGAATCAATTTTCTATTTTTTTAATTAATGATCAATTAATTAATTCAAGTATAATGATGAATCAATTTCAATATAATCATAATGAATGTAATGTAATGTATCTATTTTTTTTATTTATGTATGTATGAATTAATTTATTTATTTATGTAATAATCATAATGAATGTAATAATCATTAATGAAAAAAAAAAATAAAGAAAAAGAAAGTCGAAAGAAGAAGAAAATTAATAATTGAAAAGAAGAAGAAAAGGAATGGACTGAACTGAAGGAAAAAAAATAGACTCAAATAATTGAAAAAAAAAAGAAAAGGAAAAAAAAAAAAAGAAGAAGCAAAACAAAAAAACTTGAAAAAAAAACAAAGGACTGAACTGAAAGTCGAAGGAAAAAAAATAAATAAATATGAAAGTCGAACAACCAGTGTCGAAGACGAAGAAGAAGGAGAAGAGGAGAGAGAGTCGAACCTACGAAGCCAAAGTTGATCCAGTGTCGCAGTCGAAGTCCAGCTCTTGTGTCGCAGTCGTAGTCGCAGACCAAGTCCAGCTCCAGCAGCTCGAAGTCAATTGCGAGACGAAAGAGGGAGAGACGACTTCGATTAGGGTTAATCTGAGTCCTATTTGACTCATATGGTACATGAGTTCTGATCCTCTGTGATTACGAGCCATTCGAAAGGTTCATCTGACTCGCATTTGAGTCGTTAGATCAGATCTACAGATTAAACACTCAGTCGCGCCTAGGCGAGGGCCTTGCGCCTCTCTCGCCTTGCTCAAGTCGCGGCTAAGGCGCTCGCCTGGCTCAAGTCGCCACGCCTGGTACCTGTACAAGCGCAAATGGTACGCCTCGACTCGCCTCGCGCCTAGGCGCGACTTTGACAACACTAGAGGAACCAACTCCCAAGTACTAGTTTTCTATAAAGCAGACAACTCATCCTCCATAGCTTGAACCCAATGAGAATCCTGACAGGCCTCCTTATAAGACTGAGGTTCTGAAAAAGAGTGAATAACAGACAAAAAGTACGATAGAAAGTAGAAAAACATGTATTAGATCAACCCAACCTGTTTGGAAGATGACAAGCTCGAGTAAGATATTGGTGGGCAACAGGATCAGAGTCGTCAGATATAGGAGGATCAGCAATAGGGGTGGAGACAACCGGTGGAAGAGGAGCCTTGCGACGAGAATAAACTAACAACGGAAGAGGAGAAGAAACCGAAGAAGGAGAAGCAGCCAGAGGTGAAGCAGGAGGAGAAGATGGAACAAGTTCAGGAGGAACTGTGGAGATGTACTCATCAGATAAGACCTCAGAAGAAAAACAGATCAATATGAACCAAATCCTCTTTGGAAACTGGAGTGGTGAGAGGAGGAAGCTAAAAGTAAGGTAGACGTTCAAAAAAGGTAACATGGCGGAAGACATAAAGGCGACCGGAAACAGGGTCATAACAGCGATAACCTTTCTAAGTGAGACTATAACCCAAAAAGGCACATAGGACAGACCGGGCACTAAGTTTGGTCCTATCTTTACGGGGTAAAAGGACAAAACAAGCAGACCCAAATACACAAAGGAAAGAGTAATTAGGAAATTGAGAAAACAAAGCCTTATAAGGAGACTGACCAGAAAGAAAGGGGGTAGGCATACGGTTGAGAAGAAAAGCAACAGTAAGAACTGACTCACCCCAAAACGGAGCCGGAACAAAAGTAGAGAGAAGGAGAAACCTAGCTGTCTTAAAGAGATGACGGCGTTTACGCACAGCTCGACCATTTTGAACAGGTGTATCAGTACAAGAAGTTTGGTGAATGGTACCCAATTTGGCCAAATATTCACAGAATTCAGTTTTAAAGTATTTTCCACCCAAGTCAGACCACAACAATTTAATAGTAGATCCAAACTGTGTATTGACCATACACTGGAAAGTACGGTATATCTGGTACAAGTCAGACTTATGAGTCATAAGATAAACCTAAGTGTAACGGGTGCAGTCATTAACAAATGACACATAATATGCAGAACCCCCTTTGGTAAGAACAGGAAAAGGGCCCCAAATATCGGTATGAACTAAAGCAAATGGTTTATCAGATGTAGAAGTATTTTTATGAAAAAGTAAGGCTGTCATTTTGGCAAGTTTACACACCCCGACATTCAGTAAGTTCACTAGGAGAAACTTTACCCAATATACCAGACTGAGCTAAAGACCGTAAACGATCAGCAGACAAATGCCCTAATCTAGAATGCCACAAGTAAAAAGGACTAGACAAAGAATCTAACTGCGAAGAGAAAAAGGCAGTTAGAGAGGTTGCCATCGGCAGATGCAAGCTTTCCATCATATAGAGGTCTCCAACTCTACGGCCGACCCCAATCTGCTGCTTAGACATCCGATCCTGCACAGAATAGATAGAAGAAGAAAAAATAACATCAAAACCAGAGGTATTAAGTTGACTGACAGATAATAAACTGACAGATAATTGAGGAACATAAAGGACAGATGCAATAAAGACAACAAACATAGCAGACGGTAGGATAGACTCAACAGACATAACAAACATACCAGGCCCATTAGCAGCATTGACGATAATAGGAAAGGAAGGAAGAGTACAATTTTGAAGTAAAAAGAGATGGGGAGTCATATGATGAGGGACACCAGAGTCAAAAAGCCAAATAGATGGAGAAATACCTGAAGAAAACTCAAGCAAACCTGAATAAAGAGAGGAAACAATGGAGGCAAACATGGATGGCTGGAAGGTTAACAACATATGTTGAAGCTGACTAATCTGAGCAGTCAAGAAAGCCAAGTCAAGATCAAGAGCTGGAGCAGATGCAGTAGAACCGGCGGGAGGCCGAACAGTACTTAGAGGAGGAGCAGAGAACTTGATTGAAAACTGCTGAGAAGATGAGGCAGACACAGGCGAAACAGACAAACATCCCTTCTTGGAACAATTTCTGTTAACAGAAAGTACACTCATCAGAAGCCAGAGACATAGTAATCAGAAAACTGAGGGGTTCAAGTACAATCAAACAAAAATAGCCAAACCAGGGTTCAAGTGTAATACTCAAAATCTAAGGGGTTGAATTGTAGTAAACCCAAAACAAAACAAAATGGCCAACTAGGGGTCGAAGGGTAATAACAAGAAACTTAAAGGAGGTTCAAGTGTAATAAATTGAGAACTGGTGGGTGAAAACAAAATAACCAGAATATCAAACCACTGAGTGGGAGAACACCAGTGGTACTCTCGATCAATACTCAGTGCAAGAAAACCAAGCTCCACATAGAGACCTTGGGACAATCAAAGGACCTTCACAACTTCAAACCAAAGAACCAGAGAGAGACAGAGGAATCACCAACCAGAGTCAGCGAGAGAGAGAGAGATGTCATGAGTATGAACCAGTTGGGTCGCGAACTTAGATAAGTCGTACAAGCCAGACGAATCAAGGGATCGAAGCAGATGACCCAATGATGAATCAGACAAACCAGACGAGAGGGAGCAGACGATCGGTCGAACGAAGCAGATGACCCAAACAAACCAGACGAAGAAAGGAACAGAGAACTCGATTGAATCAGAGATCAAAACCAGAGAGATATTCGTGTTGGCTGCTAGGGTTTCAAACCAAGCTCTGATACCATGTAAGTTTTCTGAATAATTCTGTATATTCAACTTGTATTTGTTTACGAAGAGTTCATCAGTTTTTATAGCCCTAAATCTATAACTAAAAAAGGAAATACAAAGTTCCTTTGTACACCACAATCTTTCATAATTCCTACGATACACAATCATGCCATATATACAATATATTCTCACAACGGGTTCAAGTCTCATTGGTCCCTGTTTTCATTCTTTCTTCTCTCGATTGCATTAAAAAAATCTCTCTATTTATGTTTGTTTGCATCTCCACGAGCAAGATGGGTTTGCACATGAGGGAGGGTGATGAATAATTTGATATACATTGTTGGATTCATTTCCTAACAACTTAAGCTTTGGGGATAACTGGTGACTTAACAAGATGTCCCTTGCATTTCTCAATACCTCTATCCTATAGAAATCCACAATATCAAGAAAACCCATCCCCAACCACATGATATATGCCGCATCATGTGAAGTACCTCTAACAGTGAACTTAACACCCAAGCTGCTTACAAACTTTTAGCCAGTTCTGTCGACGACCATACAGATCGGAGGTGGCTCTAGAAATTAGTAATACCCTAAAAGCTGAAGTATATCTTATTCAGAACTCAACATGGTAGACTGGTAACTAACCAGATGAGAATTGGCAGGAAAGTAGACTGATGATACCTAACCTAAATGCAGGTAACAAGTGAAAATCAAGTCCCCTCTACACAGCAGGGAATGTCCTAAAGCCCGTGAAATTAGGGTTCACTTCAACAAACCTATAAATGAAACGACTAAACCCCTGGTCCAGAAGCTTACTCAAAACCTTCAAGATAGTAGCAGTTTTTTGGGGTGTTCCAAAGAAGCAGTGCATTTAACATCCCCAGGAATTCCCTGTTTGTGATTATACTCTGGCATATAAGAAGCTTAGAAACAAGACAAGTTTTTGAAAATGATGATATGGATTTGCAAAGGATTGTCAATGCATTATAAACTATGCCACTGAGATAAAGGAGACTTTCAAAACTGATAAGCTGCAGGGTTTCTAAACCCAGCAGAAAAGGGGAGAGAGACAAGAAAAAGAACAAAAATAAGTATATCAGTAGATAAAATGAGTACCACTTGAAAGTATGCCATCTAAATCATTATTAAATTATTCCGAGGAACAAATTATTGTACTTCTTGCAGTGAAGCTAAAGCGGCACCATGTAATGGTAGGATTTTGTCAAATAATGCAAAATTCCCACTGGATTTACATAAACATAATAACCGGTTTTACCTTGCCATCATATTCCTGCCTAAGTAACACTTCTGGAGCAATGTATGCAGGAGTTCCCACCGTTGATTTTGGTTGTGAATGCAAAACAGAAGACTGAGGGGGCGGAAAAACAATCCACGGTCAGATAAACACAGATAATAATTGATCCAGACTGCATATACGAAGAAAAGGGTGATTTTCAGTTCAATGGTACAACAAGCATAAGTTCCATGATGATACAGAGGCGCCAAAGTTACCAAATTCTTCACAAACAAGATATCAAAATATAAAATCAAATCCCATCAAAACCACCAGAAGGGAAGACTAGTAGATAGACACACACAGGAATTCCTACACAAGTTCCTTGACACACGCTAAATCAGAAACTTCTTTTACTCAATGCTGATGTGCGTCAGAAAACTTCTATATTCAATTGAGATCCACATTCCAGGAACTACATAATATAAGGACATAAAAAGCAACACAGAGAACAAGGATGAGCAAAACCCAATAGTACCTTGGAGTACCCAAAGTCACAGATCTTCAAACGAGGAGCGGGACTGCCATCCAATAAAGTGTTTTCCAACTTCAAATCCCGGTGACACACTTGCTTCATCAATAAAAAAGGTGCAAGCAATACATATAAACTATCCAGTTTGTATCCCCGGGATCCAAAATAAAGTATCAAATAATTAAATAACGGCACTTTAAAACAAAAAGAATATTTGCATACCATTGTGTGACAATAGCTAACTCCAGATATTAGTTGTTGAAAAAAGAAGCGAGCCTGCAGCAGACACTAGGATAAACAACCATAGCAACATTTATCAGAGAAAAAGGATCTCCAAGTATAAAACGTGAATAAACAACCTCATCCTCACTAAAGCGCCCTGCATTGCGAATTCGTTCAAAAAGCTCTCCTCCGGCTGCATACTCCATCACAATAGCTAGATGGGTTTGTGTCAATATGACCTAGAGCACAAATTTTATCAGAGTAATGATCAGTTAGGCCACAACACCCTATGATAGACAAAATAAACGAGAAAATAAGAAAATGAGCAAACCTCTTTAAACCGGACAATGTTTGGGTGTCTCAAAGACCTATGATTTATGATTTCCCTTTGGACATTTTCATCTATCTGCAACATGGAAAACCTGACTGAGAAAGAAATGCCTAAGATTTGAAATTCTTATCTCAAAAGCAATTCCCAAGACTTAAATGTGAGTGAGAGTGAGTATAGGTTATATGTGCAAGTGTGTGTGGCCTGATTGTATAATCTTGAACAGCCCAACCATAAAGCCACCTTGCTCTAGTTTAAACTTTATCCACCACTAAGAAGCATGGGCACGAACATGACACTGACATGAAAATTTTCAAAAAAATATAAAACTCAACACGTACGGGACATTTGCAAAAATATATAATTTTATATATTTATTATATCATATAAATGAATATCTAAGTTAATAAATTTTAAAGTTTAAAGGAGGAGAATAAGTATAAATTTACATTGTATTTGTTTTATTCAAACTTGAAATGTGTTTCCAAATGTTGGGAAGTGTCCAGAGAGTATTGTGTTGGTGTCTAATATGTCTGTGCTTCTTAGATCCACCATATAAGCATTCCTACCTCACAACATGTGATGTAGTACCTAATATTTTTGAGGGAAAAGTGCATTTAAATGGGAATAGTTCAAGAGAATAGCACTTTCATGGAGGTGCAAATGAAAGTTGTGGCATGGGACACAACTCTCATTTGCTCCAACTTACAAATGAAAGTGCAATTGCTTTGAGTTGTTCCAGCTTAAATGCAATTTTCCCTATTTTTATCCTTATAGTTAGTTGAGTTATGTTATGGTGCACATTTGCATGTCCCACTGAATTTAGATTGTTGGCCCGCACTTTCTGTGGAATCTGAAAGATCAATTCTATTATATAAAGTGTGGCCATTAAGAAAATACAGGATCTCGCCAAATTTCCATCACATGATCATTTTTAGGTTTCCTTGAAAAAACAATAAAAACTAAAATTACTTGTTTGACAGCTAAATCTTTCATAATTCCTCAATTTAAGAAAAATATATTCCTACCTTGAAATGCTAATACAATATCAGTAGGGTCACTAAATTTTCATGGAACATCCAAACACACCCTTAAGATGCAGACAGTTGTGCTACACCTCACTGTATCAACTTTCATCTTTCTGTCAGTTTAATTGCTTGTGAACATAGTACATGCAGCGACTAGTGAAATGTAGCCAGTCATCAAATTAGAAGAATTCCAGTTACCATTCAATTTTATATAATATCCAATTATCACGAAGAAATTGTTATCACACCGTCACGGCTAAAATGTAGAACAAAAAGTTCAAGTAGAACATATACATGAATCATATATATTTACATATATATGCTAAGCTTCAAAGGTGAATTCACACACTTCAATTTGTTGTTGCTTTGCTTCTTCCTTAAAACCCAACAAATTTCAGCCCTGCCACTTTTTTTCTTTTTCTTTTTCTTTTTCGTTTTTTTTTATTTTTTTTGAGGGGGTTACTTTTTTCCTTAATGAAAATTGACAGCTTTCAAGCTTTCCATGAAAACTAAGTGGAGTGCAAGGCTAACCCTCTTATTTATTACAAACTTTGATGCATCCCCAATCCCTAAACGGATAAATCAAAATCCGCAGTGGATATACCAGGTTCCCATAACTAAAATACTGCACACACACACACACACACAAAAAAGAAGGTTCCGCATATATTTGGCAATTAAGAACGGAAACTCCAAACTCACAACAGCATTAAATATTTGCAAAGCCCTAACATAATTAGTAAATAAAATCATAAAATTAATTCCAAAAACGTCAAGCTAATCAACCAGCACAAACAAGAAGCCGATCGAATTCAGAAAGTGACCTTATCGCCTCGCTCGATGTACTTGACGGCGACGAGGTCCTTGGTCTGCTTGTCCCTCATGAGCCTAGCGACGCCGAAGTTGCCGGAGCCGATATCTCTGACGAAGTCGAAGCGGTCGCTGTCGTGCATGATCGGCATGTCCATGCCTGCCCCAACCGTGATCGCCGCTCGATCCATTCTCGCGGTTCTCCCAATCCCAACTACACCGTCGAATCTCCGGTGAGCCGATCAGAGTTGTAGAGAAGAAGAAATCGGTATGGAATATGTCGGCCTAGCCGTTGCTTTTGCGGTCGGCGACTGATTAGTATGTTTAAGTTTTGTGGATTAAGTTTTTTTAAAATTTTATTTTTTTGATTTTACGTTTTTTTTTATGTTTTTAATAAATATTTTTAAAATTTTAAATATTTATTTTATTTTTTTAGATATATTTTATTTAGATGTATTTAAAAAATAAAAAAAATTATGAAAAAATTAATAAATATATTAAAATATAAAAAATATATTGAATTCTTGTATTTTTTTATATTTTTAGTATTTGGTGTCATTTTGGGGTCATAAAGTATAAATGAGATCAAAATTGTGATAACTTTTCAAATTTTATGATTTAAAATGAACTTTCTTTTACTTCTTTTCGATCTTTTTTTCTCTATTTCTAATCAATGGAAGAAGATCAAGAGCTTAAACATGTGTGCAAATTGTCAGAGGTGAGATCTGCGGGAGTTGCAGCAATGGAATAGCTGATGCTGACATTTTGCGGGAAGAGGGACGGCGTCGTTCGGGATAGGTGGGAACGGAAACGACGACGTTGGTAGTGTGATTGACACTGGTGTGGTGTGGTGTGTGTCCTGGTTTTTGTCCTCTTGATTTGTGTAATGACGGAAATAACCTTCCTGTTTTTGGATAATTTTGGACGGCAGTCACGATGGTTGGTAAAAGTCCAGCACACCACAGTCCCTACCAAACGTGGCATCAATTCGAAAAATAAAATATTAATAAAAACAAAATTATTAGTAATAAATCTATCAAATCACTCAGAATTAAAATTAAAAAAAAATGAAAAATTATTAAAAATCTCAAATATTTTATCAAATATTTTATATAAACGTGAGACACATAGTGTGTGTCCTGGTTTTTGTCCTCTTGATTTGTGTAATGACGGAAATAACCTTCCTGTTTTTGGATAATTTTGGACGGCAGTCACGATGGTTGGTAAAAGTCCAGCACACCACAGTCCCTACCAAACGTGGCATCAATTCGAAAAATAAAAATATTAATAAAAACAAAATTATTAGTAATAAATCTATCAAATCACTCAGAATTAAAATTAAAAAAAATGAAAAATTATTAAAAATCTCAAATATTTTATCAAATATTTTATATAAACGGGAGACACATATCATATGAATCTCATATAAATTGCATATTTATATAAATATTTGATAAAATATGTTAAAAAAATTCGAAAGTTAAAATAAGTTAATTAACTGGTGTGTTCAGGAAAACTTATCAGCCGCCTGCATCTTATACAAAAATATTGACCTTCCACTCTTTATCTTACAAAAATGTAAAAGTACCAAAATACCATCAAATGTAACCATCATAAATAAATGAAAATGGGGCATAAGCGTAATAATGGCGTATATTTTGGACAATTGACAACCACTACATTGTCAAATCATGAACAAAACCTTGGAACTAAGGAAAGTGAGTCCGGATGATTCTAAAGCCATGTTGCCAAAATAAGAAATGAACGGATGATGGAGAAAATGATTGAGTCCTCCTAAGGAGTACCAAATACATTGATCATCAGTGTCAATAACGTAAAACTTTCGGATCATGCAACTTCTTGATTGTTGTTTTAATGGGAGAGAGTCAGTATGAAAAAAATATACGTTGTTTTTGTTATATCATATCCTATATATCTCTCATATATCATATCAGATATATAGGATAAATATTTCATCTATCCATATCATGATAGATATATATATCATGAGTGGATCCAAATAAGTTTTGAATTCAAATTCAAACTTATATGGATAAAGTTAATGAGTCATGCCATATAGGCGCCCAATTTCTAACATCTCCCGTTCGCACATGAGTTGACATAACACTGCCACATCTTTATCTCAATCTCCTCAAAAATGAACAATCTCATACTAGCCAATGCACCGTGCGATCGTTGAGAACACCTGTATGTGGGAGCTCTATACTAGAAACTCAATATGAGTCAGTATAGAGACATCAACCCAAAATGAACCGAAATAGTATCTCATTTATCCAGACCCATCTAGCTACATCGGTCCAAAAACATCTCTAAACCCTCAAAGAGCATGTTTGACTCTCCTAGGTCTCGCATTATATTCACACCCAATTAGCACCCAATAGAAAGCAATGTGAGTGGTCGACAGTGAATATAGAGTAGAGATGTAGAACTAGATGATCTTCCCTTCACCCTCATATAATTTAATTTGAAATTGACCGTTTTTCCAGTAATGTCCCTTAAAGCCGAATCATACATGACCGCAGGCAACATACCAAAGTAACTGAACATCAACTACTCATCTTATGACATAGTCAAATGTCACAAAAGGCACAAAGTGAATTCATTTAGGGAAAAATGGCTTTTAGGAATCACACGGTGAAGAAGTAGGGATCCATTCTTTCACCTCACTAACAAGTCGATAAGCACATGCAGTACGAATGCATGTTATAGTGGAGTAACTCTTCCAAAAAGTGATGTTAAACTCACACACCATACAGATCTTAGTCTAGTCGCTCTTAAGCGCACAAGTCGCTTCCCAGCGTCTAACTTGAATTCTCTATTTGCTCACCTCTTAGGCATCAAATGAAATCTCGCATCTGGCTATCCATACAAGCACATCATGGAAAAGTGAGTACCCTTATATCCATAGTCAGTCTCTAACAAGACCTCATCTTGGCTCCAACCAAGGCGACATAGCTAGTGGATAATTTTAGCTTATTTATTTGCTCCAAATACAATAAGCCACTAGTCTCATCCTTGCTTGCTACCAAGCGCTAAGGGCGATTGCTCGTGTGAGTGAGCCAATCTTGCCTGCTAACATCAATTTACTTATTCTGTGTATGTTAATTCACGAACTATTGCAAAAAGTAGTAAACATAAATGTGTAATAGAAACAAATATGAATACTAATGGCATAAATATCTCCAAAAAATATATGAGTGCAATTGAATACACACACACACATATATATATATATCACCACCTACGTAGTCCTAAAGCCCTAACATGAGTAAGATAAACATCTCTAGCAATGGGCTTAGTCAAAGGGTTCGTAACCATGAGACTCGTAGGGATGTGCTCCAGGATCACTTCTTTCTGCGCCACAATGTCTCTAATAAAGTTGAACCTCACATCAATGTGTTTGGTTCTGCCGTGGTATTTAGAATCCTTAGCGTAAGCGAGTGCAGCCATGCTGTCACAATGGATAGTCACAGGGTCTGAAGTGTGTGTGACAACATCCAAATGCTGAAGGAATCTCCTTAACCAAACGGCTTCCTGAACGGCAGATGAACAAGCCACAAACTCAGCCTCCATAGTCGATAAGGCGATACAGGATTGCTTCTTATTGCTCCAAGAAATAGCACAATCGCTAAGCATGAAAGCATATCCTGAAGTAGACTTACGATCATCTAAGTCTCCTCCCCAGTCAGCATCACAATAGCCAACTAGATGTAGATCTGAACTTTGGTAGCAAAGTTTGTAATTTGCAGTCTCTCTAAGATATTATAATATCCTCTTAACTGCTTTCCAATGAGCTGGTCCTGGGTTGGATTGGTAACGACTTACCAATCCGACTGCATAACAAATGTCAGGGCGTATACACATCATAGCATACATCAAGCTTCCAATAGCATTTACATAGGGAACACGGGCCATCTGTTCATTCTCTTCTAGAGTCTTAGGACCCATATTAAGGCTTAAGCTCTCGCCATTCGCAACAAGAGTGTCAATGGGTTTGCAGCTCTATATCTGGAATCGCTCTAGGATAGTCTTAATGTAAGTCTCTTGAGACAAACCAAGAAGTCTCCTAGAGCGATCCCTAAGGATCTTAACATCGAGCACATAGCTCACTTCACCTATGTCTTTCATCTCAAATGTAAATAACAACCACCTTTTAGTGGCGACAATCATCTCCTTGTCATTTCTAGCCAATAATATGTCATCTACATATAATGACAATATCAGAAAAATGTCCTTGGACAGCTTAACGTACACACAGTGATCTTCATCGATCATCGTAAACCCATTAGAAACAATGGCTCGATGAAATCTTAGATCTCACTGTCTGGATGATTACTTTAAGCCATAAATAGATCGTTGAAGCTTGCAAACTTTACGCTCCTGACCTACTACCACAAAGCCTTATGGTTGATCCATATAAATCTCTTCATCCAACTCTCCATTGAGAAATGCAGTCTTAACGTCCATCTGATATAGCTCTAAGTCCAACTGAGCTACTATGGCCAGAATTAGGCAAATAGAGGCAAACCTTACAATCGGTGAAAAAGTTTCCTCATAGTCCACACCCTCTCGTTGGGTGTAACCTTTCGCCACTAGACGAGCCTTATACCTTTCTATGGAACTATCCACTTTGCGCTTGATTTTGAGAACCCATTTGTTCCCAATAGTCTTGCGCTCTGGTAGCAAATCAACCAAGTCCCCGACATGATTTTTCTTCATCCATTGCAGTACTCCGTTCTTTACTAGCAGGGGATGAGAGAGCCTCTTTGAGATTCTTAAGCTCCATCTTATCACTCGGAGCAATCATGAATGCTTTCCTTTCAATCTCAAAACGACAACGGGGAATAGCTCCACGTTTGCTTCTACGTAGTTGAGAATCCTGAGAATCCTCGTCCATTGGATCTAATCCATGGCAGGTAGATCACTCCCACTGTACCTAGGAGCTTGAGGGATTATCTCCCCATTCTCTACTAGGCTACTAGGTACGCCTTCAAGTAGATCCTCCATCTCATAGAGTTCTACTTCTCTAGTTACCTCACCTCTGCTAGGGAAATCCTCCTCTAGGAAATCCACATCTCGTGACTCAATTTCAGTCACACTTCCATCCGGATGCTCCATAATAAACACATAGCCCTTAGAATGTTCACTATAGCGAATGAAAATACACTTCTTTCCTCTAAGGCCCAACTTCCCAAACTTATGAGAAGTGTTGTGTATGTAAGCTGCCGAACCCCAAGGCCGCAAATTGCCCAAGTCAGGCTTTTTGCCAGTCCACATCTCATATGGGGTGGAAAGAACTGATTTGGAGGGCACACAGTAAAGGATG